CTAATTAGAAAAAATACAATATTTACGATATTTATGTAAAAAAGGAGAATTTATATTTTTGAGACATACCTAGAGTATGTCTTAAAAATATAAATTAAAAAAGTCCAATTAAAAAAAGGTTGTTTTTTTTTTGCGGGAACGTCCTAATGTCTAGTGTAATTATATTTTTAATATGTATAAAAGCAAGATAATAAAACGTTCAAAAAAACATCCCTTGTGACTCTAAGATAGTGGTTTAGCTAATAAAGTAGTTTAAATACACCATTTTGCATTTTAAACAAAAGCTGACTCATCATTTGATGAGTCATCTCAGTTGTGACAACAACATTCAATATAATAATAAATAACAGATTCATTGAAGTGGAAAATAATATCATTGATAAGAAAAAGAAAATGGCAAGTAGAACACACAATTTTAATATTTTTGAGTAATTTTGCTGAGTAACTTTATTAATAATAAAAGGAACCGCACGAGTTTTATACACTCTAAAATCTTGTGATCTTATTTTTGACGTTGTTTCAAAAATAAATTTAAAGTAAAATCATCTAATTATTTTTCATAGCTTTTTTTTAATAGTTGCTTTTTTTATTAGATTGGCGATAACAAATATTTAGATTTTTTTTTTTTAATAAAAATTTTACAGTTTTAAAACGATAAAAAACATGTTTTTTGTCGTTGATATGAGAAAATTAGCTGTTAACAGCTCATTTAAACTTTGTATTTGAAACATTTTAAAATTAACTCCATAAAGTGAATGTTTTTAAATTTAGTAAAATTGATGCTGCCACACCGGGTTCCTAATATTAGCGGTCCGTTGATGTTTATTGATCTTAAAGTATTAAAAGTAAAAATTAACTAGTAAATAAACCTAAAGCAAGTAAATAAATCTCCTTCAGAAAATAAAGACTTAGAGTAGAGTGGCTAATTTAAAAATGTGAAACTAGTGTTGTAAGCTGTTTTCACCAGTTTTTAGATGCTGGCGGTGGCAAGTGTTGTTTGCCTAATGTAAATCTAAATAGCTACCATATAAGATTCACCGAAAATGGTGAATCTTATATGTTAGCTGTTTAGAAACGGATCGCTACAAAAAAATGCAATTAATAAACGTAAGGAGATTGATAATTAGCAGGAAAAATAATAAAGGTAAGCGATGGGCGAGTATGGTAGAAAGACTTTTGATGACACATTGCTTAACATCAGGAAACGTAACTTTTTGTGAGTCAGTAAAAAAAATACAGTATACTAAAATATGGAAGTTTTTCGGGTTGTTTGATGTTCTGGATGAATGTAATACTAGTTTTCAAAACCGCATCAGAATCCCATCAGAAGTTTTTTTTTTTTAGTTTCCTTGATGAGCACAGGGAGTTTATCTTTTTGCCTAAGAGAGTTATCTTTAGGAGCTACTAAATGTCACAACTGATTAGAGATTATATTCTTAATTAAAAATATCAAATAAAAAAGAAGCCCAGGTATGTTACATAGTACTACATGGCTTCAAATATTGGTTGCACACAAGACCACGCCCGGATTTAGTCTTTAAAAGGTTGTAGAATGTAGAATGGCTTAAGGGTCCCAACTAATCAAAGAAAAAAGTTTGATTTGTTTTAATTGACGACATGATTAAAGAAGACACTAGATCTTATCCGAGCAAAAAATTTTATCGTGAAAGCTAAACTTTGTCTGGTAATTTCAGAAAAAAAAGATTTTTCATAAATACTTTTACAAATATTCTAAAAAAACCTTTTTTATAGTTTTAAATGGCAAAAAAAAACAAAAAAAAAACAAAAAACAAAAAAAAAAACTGCATTAATCAACTTTATTCTTAAAAGATTAACGACTCTCTATTTATTTATTAATTTCATCCTTTAAAATAATCTTTACAATATTTTACAACGTAACAAATTAAAGTTTTGAAAAATTCCGACTGAAGATGGCAGAAAACATGGTCTTATCATCAAGCCCCGTTAATACAAATTTAGGTTTAGTCTTGCATATAATACACATGCATAAACCATTTCATTTTATTTTTTTTTTCAATTTTTATTTTTATTATTATTTTATTTTTTCAAATTTTTTTTTTTTTATTATTATATATATATTTTTTTACGTCAATATAATAACATAACTTTTTAATGCATACATATTGAAGAGAATACTTATTGAAATAAAAAAATAAAAACGTATTGCGTCAATATTTAAGATATTAAATAACTAAATAAAGGGTTTAAAAGTAAGTTATAAATTGTTGTAATCAAAATTGAATACGTCTTGTTTTGTTGCACGTTTAAAACGTTGGATGGAAGTAATAGTCTTTATATTACTTGTTAGAATCGAGTTCCACAATCGTGAGAAACAAATTTCACAAACGTGGCAATATATTGAGATTTCAGCTTGTTTTAATTAAGTTTTAGGCATGACAAAGTTGTTCATTGAGTACTTAGTTTTGTATTTATGATTTTTAGAATTAAATTGATATTGGAAAGTGTTTGGTGATAATAGATCCTTTAAATTAATCATAAAAAGTAGTAGGCCAAGAATATTTACTTCGAAGACATTAAGCACTCCAAATTCTTTTAGTAGAGGTTTGGTGTATTGGAATTATGTATAAATCAAAGCATCTTCTTAATACAACTTGTTTAAAAAATTTTTATTTTTCTTTTATTCACAGCTGCATCAATTACTGCAACATAATCTTGGCGAGTACTTATTCAATAAAGCTAAATGCAATTTACAAAAAACAAAGACATGCATGTCGCCTAATATTAAACGAAGACAAGTAATTATAGATATTTTATTTTCCACTTTTTTGATATGATTACTCCAGCTAACACATTAATTAAAAACTATACTTATAATTTTGATGGAGTATTCTTATTTAAGTTTAGTTTTGTCGATAAGCAGTTCAGGAAGTTTTGAGGGGAGGGTGTCTAAACCAGAAGATTTTGTAAAAAAAGTATATTTTCTTTTTTCTACGTTTAGCAAGAGTTTGTTTGCCTTAAACCATTCGTTTAGATTTTTAAGTTCTTGATTAACCGTTTTAAAATTAACCTAATGTTTTTGTGGCTAAAAAATACTTGGGTATTGTGAGCAAAAAGAAAATAGTTGAGTTTTTTGGAAGAAAATATCTTTAATATAAACAAGGATTAGCAACGGCCCTAGAATTAATTCGTGCGGGACCCCACAAGTAATATTTTTAGGTTGTGTAGCAGTATTGTCATACGGTAATTCTTGTCTACGAATTTTAAGAAAAGAGCGAAACCATTTAAAGTTGTTGTTTTTTATTCAATAATTATTTAGGTTATACAGAAGAATCTTATGGTCAACAGTGTCAAATGCTTTCGAAATCAAGGAATACCCTAGAGTGTACTTAAAATTGAAAAAATAACGATTTTTTTTTTTTAATAACAAAGTTTTAATAAAAATTTGCTTAAAAACTGAATTTTTAATGATAAATTTTGTTAATAGCGAATCATTATATTCCACAAATTAGTTCTAATTCAGTTTGGTTTTTTTTTATTTATTAAATTTTCTTCTTTTGAGCTAATTTAAAATGCTCATATTACCAAGTGGTCTGGGTATATGAGCACATTTTTGAAAAACTCTGTTTTTTAGCGAAAAAATTTCTGGTGCCCAAATAACTAAGTGGATCATGAGTCATTAAAAGTTGTTTATTTGCAAAAAAATTTTGATCAAGCATAATTATTTTTGAAAACACTCAAATTTTCGCTTAAGGTACTTATAATACCCTAATACATAAATAACCGGATTTTAAAATCCCAACAAAAGTCGCAGTTAAAAATAAAAAATACCTTTTTTCTTTTTTTCTAAATTCCATAGTTCTGTAGTTTATTCCTTCTTAGTGGTTAATTGTAATAATAAAAATAAATTATTTTCACGCAATTAAGTTAAATGGTTCAGACGTCATCATCCGGTGATATCAATTGAGACATAATTTAAAAAAACCAAAAGTTTCACTTCACTAAGTAATGTTTATTTATTTACAAATATATGATATACTTTATATTTGTATGATTTCGAATGAACATAATTAATCTAAATTTTAAATAAATTATTTTTTAAACAGTTTTTATAATATTGATTCAAAATAAATAAAATTTGTATATGTAAATAATTTCTAAAATAAGGTGCAACGGGTGCCACTGAACTTAACACTTATTAAGTATGCGTAATATATATATATATATATATATATATATATATATATATATATATATATATATATATATATATATATATATACATATATTAGCTTACAACACCGCTAAAGTTGAAAATTGGCGGTTTTTACATTTTAATGCCTATCAATGGAGCAGTTCATTGCGCATCTAACCACTGGTACGATGATATTTAAATGATTGCTGAAAAAAAGTGCTATAAGCACCTTTAAAGTTCTTATTGGTTAAATATTCGTAATATATATATTTATTAGGCATCTTCTCAAAATTAATAAAATCTATATATGTAAATGATTGATGAAAACGGGCGCTACAGGCGCCCTTGAATTTACAAGTACTTGTATACTATGTATGTATTTATACCATAGTTTGCATAAAAAAAGAATCCCAAACTTTTTTTTTTGAATGCGTAAGTTATATTCGTCACATCAATTGTGTTTAACAAAAACCACTGGCTTATATTTAAATTATAAGTTAAGAGTCGCAAACGTTTAATTTTTTGTAACGCGTATGTTATATTCGTCCCAACCAATTGTATTTAACAAAACCACTGGCCTCTTTTTTTTTTAGGGGTTTTGATGATCTTTTCTTTAGCGGCGTTTAAAAACTATAATCTAAGAAACTACAAATAAAATGGAACGCCGAACTGCTTAAAGTGGTTTTAAAAAAATTATTTATAAATTTTGATAAATTAGTCTTTAACTTAAGTGTTAAATTATTTTGACAATGACGTTAGTAAATTTAATTAGCTGTTGTCATTAAAAAACTGAAGCTGTCAAAAGCTTCAGTTTTTTAATGCTTCATTAAAAAACTGAAGCTGTCAAAAGCTTTAAGCCTTCCTTATGTTAAATAAACAGCAAGTCAGAAATGTGTGCTCAAGTCATGATTAAGTTGTTTATGTTTTTAATTACATTGAGTTCTCTAGCTGCGTACAGAGTTAACACATGTTCTGTTTCTCGAGTTTCTCCGTTTTTATTATTACAAGGTAAACTTTGTTACAGCAGACACAGTCCAAAACAGTTAAAAAATACAATGGGAAAAATTCTTCACTGGATAAAAGATGTTAACCAGATGGACATGAAAGATATTACACAGCTCAAAAACGATGTTAGCAAACACGGGGTTGTAGTAATTAAAAATCAAAACCTTACTAGAAATCAACAAGAGGTATTTACAGCTAGACTAGGCAAAACAATTATACTTCCATCTTCTTTTCAAGGTAAAGTTTATTCATTTCTCTTTCATATAGAATGAGCAGTGTATTTTTATCATCAATTTAAACAATAATAATCCCAAAATATTTTATAATATTCCAGGTCATGCAATATTATAAAATATTTTGGCAATATTAACTTATTTACTAATTAGTTAACAACAATATATTAATTTTAAATTTTTAAAAAATACAATGGGAAAAATTCTTCACTGGATAAAAGATTTAAATTTCAAAATTTAAAGTTTCAAAATTTGGTCAAGTTTAAAAATTAGGTAGGGAAGGGCAAGTTACAAACTTTTACTAAATCTAGCAAACCAATTAAAAACCAAATTTATTTAATTTCTTTTACTATTAAAGAGAAAATTCCAACTGTTAAAAATTAGAAAAAAAATCTTCTTTAGATTTTTTAAGAAGACATTGCAGGAAGTGTTTTCCGAGCTGCTCAACCTGCCACAAAGGTATATATTAGCCACCTATGTGGAGTGACTTGAGCAATAAACAAACTAATACTTCTTTTGAACTGCTGATGTGTCAAAAAAATATTCACTATAATGTCTAGTTTTCATCTTTAGGCTCAAAAATGGCTAAATTAAGTTTCACTACTCTAGACACGATTGATTAATGTTGATGTTGTTTTTGTACTAATATGAAAACGATGAACCTTTTTATAAAATTTTTAATTTATTTAGTTTTTTTACTTCTTGAATGTAAATTACTTATAGTAGAGTGGTAAAATAAAAATTGGACAAGTAAAAGTTTGTTCAAATAAATATTTTTTATAAGCAATGAAAGAAAACTATGAGAGACGGTATCAATTTTTTTTTCGTTATTTGCAAAATTGCCAAATAATTATACTTAAAAAAATCAATTAGCAGGTAATTAAAAAATAATAAAACAAAATAATACACAAAACGAAAAATGTGACAATTAAACTTGGACGATAACCAAATATATGGTTTTAGTTATATTGAACAAATAAATTATTTAGTGACAATGAGCAACTGTAAAATTACTAAAAAAAAGCAACAACAATAACAACAAAGTTATCAGAGAAATCCGTGCGCACAATGATTGAAAATTATAAAAACACAGAAACTGCATATGAAACACCAAGGTCTGAAGAATCGTAAAAACATTCTTATCAATACATAGGTAAATGATATAATCGAAAACAGCAGGAAAAATCCATATATTCAATTCGAAACTTAAAATTGGAGTTAAACAGTATGAAAAATTGAAATGGTGTGAGCAGAGAAAAGATATCGAAAATTCGAGAAATCGGTTCTTACACCGCTCAACGTAAGCCATTTTTAGGAATCACAGACCGCATTGCAACGAGAAAATGCTGTCGGAAAAGACTGACAATTATTTTCAGCGATGAAACTTACTTTCAAATTTTTAATCGTAAATCTAGAGTACACAGGAAAATTATTGTTTTCAATGTTAAACTTACTCAGTGGGCACATGACCTAATAAAGACGTCTTTTGAAAGTACAAAAGAAGTCATTTTTACGTCCCATGCCCGCTGGGTGGGTTCTTTAACAGTCATAACCAGAAATTGGAACCGAATTATTTTCAGCGATGAAAATTTTAGATTTTTAATAGTAAATCAAGAGTACACAGGAAAATTATTGTTTTCTTTGTTAAACTTGGGTTCGTCCAAATTTAATTGTCGCTTTTTTTCTTGTGTTTTATATTTATATATATATATATATATATATATATATATATATATATATATATATATATTATATATATATATATATATATATATATATATATATATAAGTATATATATATATATATATAAGTATATATATATATATATATAAGTATATATATATATATATATATATATATATATATATATATATATATATATATATATATATATATATATATATATATTTATATATATATATATATAAGTATATATATATATATATACATATATATATATATAAGTATATATATATATATATATATATATATATATATATATATATATATATATATATATATATATATATATATATATATATATATATATATATATATATATATATAAGTATATATATATATATATATATATATTTATATATTTATATATATATGTATATATTTATATATATATATATATATAAGTATATATATATATATATAAGTATATATATATATATAAGTATATATATATATATATATATATTTATATATTTATATATATATGTATATATTTATATATATATATATATATAAGTATATATATATATATAAGTATATATATATATATATATATATATATAATATATATATATATATATATATATATATATATATATATATATATATATTTATATATTTATATATATATGTATATATTATATATATATATATATATAAGTATATATATATATATAAGTATATATATATATATATATATATATATATATATATATATATATATATATATATATATATATATATATATATATTTATATATTTATATATATATATATATATATTTATATATTTATATATATATTTGCAATTCGCACTTCTATATAAGTATATAAAACAAACTGCTTTTAACAATTCATTCACAGTAGAGAAGTAATTAATTAATTAATTAATTAACCGTAATTAATAACTTTTTAAACACATAATTCTTAAAAAACAAATACGATAAAAGCTAGACATGTTGGGCTTATATTTTTTATTTTAACTTTAAAAGACACACTGCACAAGTATGAAATTATAATATACTAATAATATGATTGTTTTTTTTTTTGCTTCTTATTTATTGAAAAAGTTTATAACTTTTTGTAAGCGGTACCACCCAAACTATCGCTGGGTACCGCACTGTCTCGTCTGTTTTTTCAACAATACTGGTGTATTGTTGAAAAAACAGACGAGACTGACTTTGTTGTTGCAAGCATTCGGTAACTCATGTGATGATATCATAGAAAGTTTGAAAGATTTGAAATAACCAGAATTGATTAAAGCTGTTTCGGCGATCTCGTATTGAACCATGGCTGATTGTTTCACTATGTTTTGGACACCCCAGTAAAAGATTGCTTTGATATGCTTAATGATTCAGCAAGTCAGAGCAATCTAAACAACGATTTGTTGATTAAAAATTAGTTTTTTTTTAGACACTGCGAACGCGACTTTCACTTCAGTGTATGGTTTTTTTTTTCTTTGCGCGCGTATTTTATATAAAAATAGAATTTATAATATTTGATTTAATTTGTGCAAAGTGTAAGGGATGCCGAGTCCCAAAAAAGACCCTACATAATGATTCTTTTTTCTTGGTTCTTTGTATCCAGGAACTTCAAAAATAAAAAGAGGCTTATGAACTATTTTTGGAAAAAAATTAAGACATTTAGAGAAACAATAAGTTTCAAGTCATTAAATTTTTTTTATTATAGATCATAAGTCATTCAATATTTTTACTGCTCCTGGACACAAGAAACCAATGAAAAAGTAGTGATTTATTGTTTACAATAAATGTAATTCGTGGTTTAAAGCCGGCTCTGCAACATTGTAATATATGCCAAATAATCCATAAATGAAACATTGGTAAGGAAGGTGGTGTTAATTTCTTGGTTAAATGTTTTTCCGCAGTGTTCTGTGATAAGACGGTAAAGACTTCTTGGTGAACCTAAATGATAATAATTATATAATTGCAATCCTTTTTGAGATTCTTTTTACCAAGTAAACAAATAATGTATTAGATTCAACTCCGTAGTTCACCGTTTCCGTTTTTAGCTCTCAAGTTTCTTCCGGAAATTGCAACTTTAACTTTGAATAAATATTATTGATTGGCTAAAAAAATAATACAAGATAAAATTTTAAGTGACCTGAAAAAATTGGTGGAAGACCCCTAACTTCACTTATAAACATTAGTGAAAACTATAAGGAAATAAAGTTATAAAAAATTTTAAATCAAATAAAAGAATTAAATCATACTTTTGTACAATTACGTAATAGTTTTTTTTATTCAGTAACGTATATGATTCAAAATGCAGCAAAGTACAATACTTTTAAAAATATATACTTAAGTAAAAGTAAAAAAATATTTAAAAAGTACAAAAAACTACTCAATTACTGTGACGTAAATAATTCATTACTTTCCATTTCTTATTTCCATTACTTTCCATTTCTTATTTCCATTACTTTCCATTTCTTATTTCCATTACTTTCCATTTCTTATTTCCATTACTTTCCATTTCTTATTTCCATTACTTTCCATTTCTTATTTCCATTACTTTCCATTTCTTATTTCCATTACTTTCCATTTCTTATTTCCATTACTTTCCATTTCTTATTTCCATTACTTTCCATTTCTGCCCTAAAAGTATACTAACGATCAAAAAGGTTCTAACAATTTTTAGGGACTCCGGTTTCAAAAAATAGGGATTCCAAGGACTCCCGGCTCGAACTTTTTTTTAAATAATTTTTTCGAGTCAACAAGGGTTTTTAGAGATGAAATATTCCTGTATAATAGTAGAGTAAAGTTCCATTTATGCTGTAAAAAATCACAATTTTTTATTGATTTTATTTTTTTAAATATAACAAATTTATTTAGGTTGAAGGTATATCTACCAATTTTCTTTAAATAACAAAATTGTTTTTAAGCTTACACGTGATAGTGGTCTAGTGGCAGTGTGTTCGCCTTGTAAGCGAGAAGTTTCTAGTTCAATTACTGCACTTAGCATGTTTCATACTTTTTATATGACTTTCATACTTTTTTTATCAGTAAAAATATACCCGTTAGTTTAAAAAATAACATTACGAAAACCCGTTAGAAAAATTACTTTCTTTTACTTTAGCATAAACGCACGTTTTAAATGTGTAAATGTTTTTACCTAAGCATAGTTTAGCATTTAGCTATCAGTCTACACCAAAGAAATTGTACACCACATATGCTGTAATTCACCTATTACATTCTTTATAAGCAATGTATGAAGTAGGCGATGTATGCTACAAACGCGCAATTTTTGAATAGTTTGTATACCGGAGGGCTTTTTATACGCAGCGTAACTCATTATACTTTAAAATTTAATAAATCGCGGAGTCCCGTAGTACCTATAATTTTTAATACGCGCGAGACTCTAAATTCTGTGTAAAAATAGGTACTCCGGACCCCGGCCTCGCAACTTTAAAACAAAAATAACTGCTGCCTTTATACTGGTTTTTATACCTGAAATTCTGTTATTTTTTAACTATGTTAAAATAAACTGTTTTTATTTATTCATTTTTTAATAACTATTTTTAGGTCGTAGTTTATTTAAATTGAAAAATAAAATTTGGCAAATTTATTTACAATATAAGCTACCTTTACTCCAATGTGGTCTCATGATATCATGTAGTGAAGTACCGGAATTCCGGCCGGAATTTCTGTCATTTAGATCAACTGGAGTTAAAAAATTTTTTTTCACTTTTTTTCATGACATGTGACATAGGCTATGTAAATAAATTAAAAAATCATTACCCTACAGAGCTATTATTAGGAACTATTGGTAAACCTAGGTAAAAATACAAATGTAATTTTATGTGCAGAAATAGTAGTACTGCGAATATATTTGCAAAAATAACATTTGAATTTTTTACCTAGGTTTACCAATAATTCTTCATGGCTCTGTAGAATAATGATTTCTTAATTAGTTTAAACAGCCTATGACCCATGTCATTAAAAAAAAAAAGTAAAAAAAAATTTTAATTCCAGTTAGAAGCGAATTGATTTAAAAGATACAAATTCCGGCCGGAATTCCGGTACATCCCTAATATAATGTAGTATTCGTTTAACTTTTTTTTTTTTTAACATCTTTTAGGAAATAATAGCTATTTGGGCCACCCTGCTATTGCGGTTGTTTCAAATTACTGGCTAAATGGTTCATGGAAAGGACCTCAGCACAGCTTCGGACAGTATTGGCACAAAGATGGAGACTATTTTCCTTATCCGAATAATTTTATATTTTCTATCCTTTATGGTGACGAAATATCAGCTTTTTTAGAAGGAGGTGACACTGGCTTTATAGATGGTTGTTTAGCTGCAGAAAATGCGCCTCAATCAATTTTAGATGTTCTCAATAGCACTAAAATTATTGTGAAGGTTAGTTTTATTGACGATTTTCGTAACGGATTAAAGGATCATTTAGAACTATATGCAACAGTTAAACATAATTTTATATCTAAACATCCTCTTAATAAGCGAGATTGCGTATTTATGTTTAAAGTTGCTAAGGAACAGGAATTGCTTTATACACAAGAAGAACTGCGTGCATTCGATGAAATGTGGAAGTATATGTTGCAAGATAAGTTTTTTTATTTTCATAAATGGAGCCAGTCAGACATTTTGATTTGGGATAATACGGCGGTTTTCCATAGGGCTATGCCAATTGTTGATAAAGGAGAAAAAAGAATTATGTACCGGACAATGGTCAGAATTGAAGTTTAATCTCACTATCAATGGACCTCACGCCAACTTTTTTATTAAATTTAAATAAAAGTTTTTATATTTTTAGTAACTTAGCATGTTTTTTTTATTTAAAAAACTTGTTTTACTTTTTTTTTTATCTATATTTTATTTTAAAAGTAGTTTTTAAAAAAATAGTTTTAAAAACAGTTTTTAATTCCTAAATAAATTGATATCTTTAATAATATATTTTAATGAGGTAATAATATCAGTTTAAAAGTGATATAACGTGCTGAATTTGGTTATACTTAATGAGCAATGGTCAAGCCCCCACATCCTGTAAAAAGCCCCATGCTGGAGTCTTCTGCATGCCTAACTCTCCCTTTTAATGGTTGTGCATACAAATTTTTTTTTTTTGGCAGATAAAAAAAAAAAAGAACACCGTAAAAAACATATAAAGTTTGTTATTTAAGAAACCCGTTTTTACTTTCAGAACCTAATTTTTTTTTTTACTTACTTAGAGATTTTTATTTTTTAAAAAAGTTAGATTTTTTAATGTTTTAAAGTCAATTTATTAATTTTTCAAAATTGATTTTTCAAAATTTCACGTAAAGAGACTGAAAGGTTTGAAGGATTTGCTTAAAGATTGATATCATTACGCCCCCTTTTAAAACATTACGCCCCCTTTTAAAACATTAATTAACTCTTTAAATTAAAACCACAAAAATGACCAAACTTAACTTTATGACAATCACCCAAACACGATAGTTTCCTTATTTTGTCGTCACTATTTTTATTTTTAAAATTTAATTTTTTTTTTTTTTTTTTTTTTTTTTGCCGTTTGTTAAAAAGTACAAAAAATTTTTTTGCAATAATAAAAAATCCCGGCCGGAGAAATGTTTTATCACCGAGCCCCATTACATTGGTGTTTTCAAACGGCTTTAACAATTTACATTTATATTTACAACTAATAAGTAATAAATAAAATAGTAAAAGAACATACAAAACTTCAGCAAAAAAATTAAAATTTTTGCTAGCCATCTTCTAGCGGAATAAATTAAAAAAATAAAACAAAAGTGAGATAATCTTGAGAGTTAACAATCAAAAATTGTGTTAAGTTTTATTAAAAATAATACAATTTATATTATTTTTAATAAAACTTAACACAATTTTATATTTATATTATAAATAAGTATATAAATAAGTATTTTATATTTATATTAAAAATAAGTATAATTTATTTATATTATAAATAAGTATTTAGGACTGATTAATAAATATCAACAAAAACATAAAACAAAAAAGGAAAACAATTAGTAATAAAAGCTGTAAAAAATAGTCATAAATGTAATCATTTTAAATGATTTATTTAATTCAAAACTATTACAAAAAACATTAAAAAACATTAAGTTTTGCTTTAAACATAAATAATATTACTTGATGAATATGGTTCCTATTAATACTTAAAGCTCCAAACGGACGTAAGAGAGGTTCGCAATATGCGTTCCTGTTTGCCCAAAACATTATCCTGCAAGCATGTTTTTGTTTGGTATAAAATTTTTTGAGTTTATTGTGATTAGTGCTGCCCCAAACAACGTTGTAACAACGTTACATTGAGAAAGTTTCTTAATAATGAATCTTTAAAAAATTTTTTTTCTCCTCTCATTCACAGCAAAATGTATTTTTTTAATATTTAGACTTTTTTCCTATTGGTTCTGCCAAAGGCGAAGCTTTTTTTTTTCTTCTTATATTTTTAAAACTACATAGTTTTAACAATATATACTTTTAATACAATAGTTTTGACAGTATATACTTTTAATACAATAGTTTTGACAATATATACTTTTAATACAATAGTTTTGACAATATATACTTTTAATACAATAGTTTTGACAATATATACTTTTAACACAATAGTTTTGACAATATATACTTTTAATACAATAGTTTTGACAGTATATACTTTTAATACAATAGTTTTGACAATATATACTTTTAGTACAATAGTTTTGACAATATATACTTTTATTACTAATACAATCAAAATGCTTCAAAAATAACTGAAATAATATTAAAATATATTTGATGTACAAAGTTATATTTTGACAAATAAAGTCTTAAAAAAGGAAAAATAAACCTTTAGTTATGTCGTCAAAAAAAACTCGCAGAAAACTGTGTGAAGTCTTGTCATCGAGAACCCAATTTTTTAAAATAATTTCAGTTATGAAATTCTCATAATTATTTTATTCATTACATATTATATTTTTCAATATAATTCGTCGTGTTTTTTAAGAGTACTATATAGTTTCCAGTTGCTCTAGTGCTAAATTTATTTATTTTAGTTTGAAAAAAGTTATTTATAGATCGACTTGGAACAGTTCCCATTTTATGTTTGAACATAAATAAAATATTTTGATATATATTAATTTGGTAAATGTTTAAAGCATTCATCTTTTTTAGTAATGGGTTTGCATGAGAAAGCTTGTCTTTATCAAATACAAATCTTGAAGCATATCCTGCCGTCTATAGAGAGAACTTAATTTAATTTTATGAGTACTTGCCCATAGAAACTGACAGCAGATGCTCAAGTTAGAGAAGCGTTTTTTTACTTATTCATTACTCTGCTATTCTTTAAGAACATTAAGCACTTTTTTTGTAGAATACACAAATATATTTGACATCATGGTACTGAGACTGGTAATCTATCTAAGTTTGAACAACTTGTAATCTATGTATAGGAATATTGATTTTGTTGGTCATTTTGCAATTTTATCACACAGTATGTTTCTAAATAATATTAAGGTACCATAATAACTGTCTGGGACGTTTTTTTTGTGTTTGAAAGACAACTACTATTTGCGCCGATATTTTTATTTTTTTTAATGTAAACTTCAAACGCTTTTTTTTTGAAGGTAAAATCTTCAAAAAAAAAGCGTTATTCAACAACTGGCTAACAGAGCCCATCAACTAAGTAACTAGGTAAACAGTAACTAGGTAAGCTTCATTACCAAATAATGAAATAGTGTTTAACAATTAGTCAGGTTACATAAATTACTTTCAGATTTTTATGAAATTTAAATCTTTTGTTGTGGAATTATGAAGTTCTAGAGTTTAAAATTTCCTAAAATAACGGAAGACATGACCTAGTTTGAAATAAATTTAATAAATTTAATTTAACCCGTTTTAGTTATCAAAAACAAGCAAAGTAAAGAATTTCGTTCTACAAAATTCACTTCCTAGCAAACATTTTGACGTAAATATAACTTCGAAATTAGTATATATTAATGTCTTCTTGACGATGAATATTAGTAATGAAATGATGAAATGATGTAGAAAACTGACAGCAAAAATCTGTTTATTTTTGACGCCAAAAATATGCTAAAACAACGTTTAAAATCTAGAATGCAATGACTTTATAGTATTGTAGAAAACAAGCAAAATATTGGTCATCAAACTAACAACGATATTAGGTCATAATTGATGTTCATATAAGGATCAAACTACGTTTAACTAATCAATGCCTGTATTTTGACGTCAAACTAACGTCAAATTTTAGTAAAAAAAAAAAACCTTGATAGAATTGATCCAATTTTAACGTCAAAACAACGGGAAATGTTTGCTTGATTATTGTTTAAAACTTTAGCATAATTAGCGGCAGTTTCGTAGATCTTTAGCAAAGATTTTTATTAACTTATTCACGTGTGCTTCTAGAAATATTTTGAGATTGAGTAATTGATACCCCTTCCAATATATTTTTTAATAGTTAAAATACATCCAATTAAGATGAGTGGATTGTGTATTTGCATTATTTGAGATGAGTAGATTGTGCATTTGCATCAGTGGAGTACGACTCGCTCCTTTTCTTGTAATTCAGCAAATGGAAATTTTTGGATGTCTAGCACAGCCAGATTATAAACAATGATATTTACGTAAAGATTTTTTGACAGATTCGTAAAGAATAATGCTTTTGTAAAAACGGTTCAACTTATTTTAAACCATAATGCTTTAATAAAATATAATACCAATTTCTGTGTTACTTAAAAATCAAATGGTTTATTTTGAAAACGATGAAATGTATTAGAATAAAAATAGTTTTTTATGGCATTTTTTTAATGGATTGTATTTTTGCTATATTTTGATTAATAAAAACAAGATTTAATTTTATTTTGTTAAAAACTAACAAAAATACAAACAATAAATGTCATAAAGTGCTATTTTTATACTTGTATATCCAGCGTTGTTATGTTACATAGTTGTTATGCGTTGTTATGTTACATAGCGTTGTTATGTTACATAGTTACACTGTTTACAAACAATGTTACATTGAAAAACTTTTAAAAACGTTTCAATTCCTAACTATAGTTAGGAATTGAAACGTTTTTAAAAATTTAGCATATTACAGAGGTTAGGGGAGAGCGGGGCACGTTGTCACTCTTTTTATATTTTTCAAGATATTTCAAAAACCAATTGATCAATTTTCAAAAAAACTGTTTTACATGGTAGTTTATCATTATAGTTATTTAAAAAAAAACTTCGGAAAGCTTCAGGCCATTTGAGTATAACATGCCACCATTTCTAAAGAAAGCTCCATGGTATGACAACTTGCCCCACCGTCGGGGCAGTTGTCATGATAAGAGGGGCAAGTTGTCATAATTATATTTTATCACAAGTGTAGGTCTAAAAGGTAAAAAAAAATATTTTCAAATAGAAAATAAGTATTATATTATTCATTTATAAATTATTAAAAACATATAAATTATATTATAGTTTATACTCTAAAACACTTTGAAAATGACCATCATCAGGGTCACAGTTACGGCAAATGTAGCTGGACCCTCCTGCTGTACATTCTTCATGTGCCCAGCTTGAGCACACACAGATTTGATCCATTTTTCAGCATCTCTGCTATTAGCTCAAGTATCCATGCAAATAATACAGTAGGTTTCATCTTCTGATGATGATAATGAGTCTTGTGTATGCTTTTTTGTTGTTTGCCTTTTCCCTTTCCCTAAGCAGAACTTTTGCATTTTTTTGGCAGTGGCTGTGCTTATCTTATAGAATTTTTGAAAGGGGAATCAGTCAATATAGACGAAGTTCTCTTTTTGCGTGTGTTTTTAAAAGGCTTTCTTTCTAGTGCCTTTGGTAACGGCCTTACTTTATCTGGAGATGCAAGCTCAAAGCATTCAGAAATTGATTTGGCTTGAGATGTTGAAGGCTCCTGTGATGACAAAGTCAAACTTGAAGTTGAAGCACAAGTGGATTGTTCTGGTGAGACTGTAACCTCTGAAGCTTGAGGCATTGTTAATTGAGGATTGGTTTTGACTAGCATAGGCATTTCTGTTACTGAACTTGGAGCAGTCCAAATCTGTAAATATTTGAGGGTTAAATGGGTGGATGCCACAGGAAAAAAATCCGCTCAGTATGTTATTTGGTGTCATGCTCAATGGAAAGGCAACCTTCACAATCTCTGGAATATTGTAAATTGTCATAGCCTTTCCAGGGTTACTGACCATCTAACTGTTGATGGCTGTATTTACAGCCTTTTTAAAAGGGCCATTGACTGTTCTATCTAGTGGTTGCAACTTGTGGGTGCAATGGGGTGGAAAACTTAACATAATAATTCCATTTGCTGTCGCATAGTCTAGTGCATTCAATGACAAGTGCGAAAAGTGATTGTCAACCAGTAGCAAAACTGGATGCTCCTTTGAAGGCCGTGCATTCTTTACAAAATGAGTAAGAAATTTACAAAAAGTGTCTTCCTTCATCCAACCAGATGGATTTGCGTCCCCATCACTGCCAGGTGGTGCAGAAGTTAAACAGTGGTCCCTAAAATTGACTCTCGGAAATACGAAAAAAGGTGGAATACTGTTACCGATAGCAGAGGCAGCACATGCCAAGGTAACTAAAGCACCTCTTTCTGCTGAGGTTATTGCTCCAACTTGCTTTTGGCCCTTTCTTGAGATCACTTTATCAGGCTTTTGAACTATAGTTACCCCTGTTTCGTCCATGTTCCAAATATCTGCTGGTGTGAATTGATGACGTTGAACACCTGAAGATTATTGAAAAACATTTCAACATTGTGTTTGTTGAAACTTATGGCACGTGCAATGCTTTTGGCCTCTGAAGCTCTTAAAGACAATGTTGGATTTTTTTGTAGGAAAGACGTAAACCAATCTCTCCCAGCACAATGATTTTCCATCCATGATTTTGGCATAGCCAATTTATTAGCATCTGCTAATTGATATGCTAGTTTCCTAACATCTTTTGGTGTAAGGCCAAAGTAAATATCTGAAGCTCTTTGCAAGTAGCTACAGAGTTCAAGATGAAGCTCTTGTGTCAACACTTGCATGAAATAATATAAAATATATACCAGTATAAATACTTATTTTATGGAGTCACTTATAATAACAAATATTATAATCCTTAAACATATTAACAATCTACAAACCTAGGTTGTACGTAGCCAGTGTGAAATGAAGGTATTGTCGATTTTTCTTGAAGATCTTCTGTAAAGGCTTTTGACAAATAGCGTTGTAGGCTTCTACAGTTGATATTGAAATCTAGAGACACCTGGGCTATGCTTCTGCCATGTAACTTTACAGCTTTCACTGCTTCAAGGATTGTGCATTTAGCAGTGGTATCTCTACTGGTTTTCCTTTAATAATTGCAAACCATGATTTAAAATCTGATAAAGCAAAAAAAAAATAAAATAAATAAGGATAAAAGTCCAAGTAAGCAAAACTTTATAACTGTCTAATGTCTATAACTATCACTATCATTTATTAATGTTTACTAAGGCTTATTATTAATCTTAAATATTATGCCTAACTCATTTTATTGATGTTTATTACTTATAATAAGCATTGTATGTATTATTAACATTCATTTAAGACTTTTACAACTATATAAAAGTATGGAGGCAACTTTTTTTATATGACAACTTGCCCCCTTTAAAATAGGACAACTTGCCCCACAGGGGGTAGAGGAAGGTTTGACCTAAATAACTTTTTATCCTTGCCGTGAATTTGAAAAATGACTAGCACACCAATAAAAGAATTTCCAAAACTATAAACATTTTAATGTATCAAACACAAATATTGCATATTGTTACTGTATTGATCATTTGAACAAAAAAGTTAAAAAATTACTTACCAACGAAATTTTTACTTTTTTTGGATTTGTAGAAAAACTATTCGCACGAATTTTATGAAATCAACTGAGCAGTCATCTTTCAGCACCATTTATATAATATAAAAAATCGCAGCATCAATCCAGCTATAACATTCCGAAATAGCGACTATGACAACTAACCCTTATGACTTTTAGCCCCGCTCTCCCCTATACCCTCTGCAATATGCACAAAAGTTTATAATATAACTGAAGACAGCAAACGGGTTTTTAATTAAATATAAAACATTTTTTTACAACCCTAAGATGATTTTAAAGTTTTGTCAATATTTCATTATTTAGAGTTTTTATTTAGTTGCCCAAAATTATACAGCTGGTGTATGAAGCTGGTGTATTATGCAGCTGGTGTATGAATTGATTATTGAGCTATATTAGTATGAAACAACTCAAATGTTCATTCCTGTGTTGATATGTTTTCAATATTGGTTTTTATATTTTTATATGTACTTATTATTTTTATTTTTCTAATCTTAAATATGATATAAATAGTGTGAAAACATTTGTAATTTCAGTTTAGCACAATTCAAATAAATAAATATACATTTTTCAACTAGATAAAATAATTTACTATTTATGAATCATATGAGCATTTTTTATGATGTGGAGCTATGTCACAATTGTAACATTTGACACAGTATTAAATTGTATATTAACAAAATAGCGTATCAGTTTTTATTCCAAATACGATGCAATGCAATATACAAATATATATACATTGTTTTTTTGAAATATCAATTACTTTTAATAGACTCTAGAATAATAAAAAATGCATTTAACAAATTGTATAAACCATGGGTTGGCAACCTTTTGAGATGGAAAAACCAAAATTTACAATTAAAATTTTTCTTTCAGTTTTTAAAGAGCTACCAATCTTTATTTCTATATTATATTATTATTTGTGCATGGACGTAAAGAGCCGAAGAATTACACGAGGCTTGCGAGTCGCATTAAAATTAGGTGTTGGTAATGTTGATTTCATATATATTCATCATTTGCATATCTTCCATTAATGGTTTTGCATGTTCATATATACTTTTTTTATATATAGGTCTGCATAATCCTATAAAGATACTAGTTTCAGACTTTCTGATGTTACATATGGACAAATACGGTATATCAAACCAATTGTTTTACTAATTTTTGATTGAATATAATTTATATGGGGAAGCCATAATAAATTTTAATGGTGATTTTTTATGAAATCAAGTATATTTTGAAAGTTTTTTTCTGAAAGTTCGAACTTTTTGTTCGAACTTGAACACGTTCGAGCTTATGGTGAAATTTATGAGTTTTTAATATAAATATTTCAATAAAAATTAATATGAAATATAAACATTTAAGCTAAACTAAAACTATCAATGCGAAAGGTGTTAATATCATACTAACATTAAACGTTACTAAAAGATTAAAGGCGAAATCTCGAAGTCGAACGTGTCTTCTATACATAAAATTTATACATTTATTAAAGCAGTTAAGACCATGAATGTATGATAAATGTAAACGAGTTCGACTTCAAGAATTCAGCCTTTAATTTACTACGATTTTGAAATCTGCAAGTTATAATTTTATAATATTTAAGTAGAGAAACTAATCCTAATCATCACAATTTTATTTTTTGAATTCAGACATGCCAAATTACAAACTAAGTGGGGTTCAGCGTCGAAAAAAACAGAAAAATGATTGATATTTGACTGGCATTGAGAACATTATCATTGAGAATGTTATCATTGAGAAGCATTAAAGTCCAAAGAATTAATGAGCAAGTTTCTATATTCAAAGAAATCGAAAACAGGTTATGCAGAAAATGAAGAAGACTTAATGGAACAAGGAGGTAAAGATATCCGCAATCCTGATCCTTATAATGACAGTGACGGTAAAAATGAAGAAATGGTTGTAGAACTTCCTATTCTTACTGTATTGTCATTTTATGATGTTGGCTTTTAAATATTTGACTAAACAACACATCAACCTATCATGTCGCAAAGTCTTAGAACTGAGATCATTGCTCGCGAATCTGATTTATTTCAAAACAAGAATGGCCCTTTTATTGCAAACTCAAGAGGATGTTCTCAATTTTAGCAAGTCGTCGTTTGAACTCGACGTGGTTCAAACGACGACTTGCTAATGGTGATGAAGTGGGTCGTTCGTAGTTGTTATATTCACCAGTTAACAAAGCAGCTTATTGTTTCTGTTGTCTACAATTTCCAACTTCTAGCTCAAATTCATAATCTTCCTTTGAATCAGTTGGTAGATTCACTAACTGAAGACACACAGAACGAATAAAAGATTACGAGAACAGTCCCTGTAACCGCAAATCATATACTGTATGGAAAGAAGCTGAGCGAAGAATAACTTATGGAAAAGGAATAGATTCAGAACTCGAAGCCAAAATTGAACATGAAAAACAACACTGGCGAAATATCTTAAAAAGAATTCTTTCTTGTATTAAAGTTCATGCTTCTGCGAACATGACTTTACGTGGTTATAGAGAAAAACTTAGCACTGCTGATGAAGGAGCAAATACTGGAAACTTTCTTGCCCTTTTAAAACTCCTTTCTGAGTATGACCTTCTCACTGCAAACCATCTACAGCATGCTGAAGAAAATTCAGGGTCCGTCTCTTATCTGTTTCCAGACATTCAAAATGAATTCATCAACCTACTTGCCTGTACTGTTAGAGATAATCCCCTCACTAGTATCAAAAAAAGTAAGTATTTTGGTATCTTACTTGATTCGACTCCTGATTTGGGACATCGAGAGCAGTTATCTGAAGTAATAAGATTTGTGGACATTGATTTTGTTACCAAGAATCCTGTGACCAGAGAGTCATTTCTTGAATAAATTGAAATCCATGCTAAAGATGCAGCAACTCTTGAAACTGTCATTACTGATAAACTTGAATCGGACAACCTACCACTGGCAGATTGTTGATCCCAATGTTACGACAACGCTGCTGTGATGACAGGACATATCTTTTGGCTTCAACAAAGAATTTTTAAACTATTATTATTTTTTTCAATTACGCTTGAAGGGCGTAATTTAAAAAAAGAGTCATTTTAATTTTTTTAATACAAACCGTCCTGGTTAAAACTATAGGTTAAAACTATATACAGTAAAACTTTGACCTCAATTATCCGGTTAATGGGACCATGAAAATCTGGGAACTCTTTTTTTGTGTGATTAGTTTGTTTAGATCTTCAAAAAAATTTTCTCGAAATTTAGTTACTAAATGTGTATAACAACCGTCTTTTTTTTGAAAGCTATTTTTGCTACAGGAGCCGGCGTAACAAAGTAATAACTCATTAAATGAGTCTTTAAAATATCAGTAAAGTATTCTAAATACTATCTTATTTTATTTTAAATATTTATTTTCATTGCGTTGGTACTACCTAAAGCTTTTTTAACTATGGCAAAGTGGCAAACCATAAAATTCTATCAAAACTATTGCAAATCAATATATATATATATATTTTTTGTTTAGTTTTTTATTTTTATTTTTTTAAAAGAAGAAAATAAGAAACAAATCACGACAGAAATGAGTAATGATGGCTTTTTTCAGTTTAATTATTTTTAGGTACTTATTTTAAAAAAATAGTCTCTTACTTAATAAAATTTTTTAAGATCAAAGTAATTTTCTTATAGAAATCGTTTAGATTCTCTTTTGAATTGTTCTATTGAGAAATTTAGAAGCGTTTTATTTTTAATAATATTTTTGAAAAAACTTTTCCATATGTCCACGGTATTGAATTTGAAACGAACTGAGTTTTAAATAAGATCTTGGAACAAAAAAATTATTAGTTGAATACTTTGTGAGATATTTATGAGTAATTTTGGTGAAGTAAGAGTGAAATATATTAAGAGATAAACCATGTTTTGTCTTAAACATTAGAAGCATAACTTGGTAAAGGTTAAGTTTATAAACATTGAGTACATTAAGTTCCATTAAAAGAAATTCACCATTAACAGTTCTGTTAACACCAAGTATAATTGCATGTTTTTGTTTGCTATAGATTTTTTTAAGTTTCCCATAATTAGTACTTCCCCATGCAATATGCAATAGGAAAGATAACTATGAAGAAATGAAAAATAAATAATTTTTAAAGACTCAATAATAAGAAATGGTTTAACTTTATATAACATTGAGATTTTTTTAGAGATTTTGTTTTCAATAGATTTAATATGATATATTTTCATTTATAATCACTCCTAGAAAGTTAAATATTGACCCTCTTTAAATAGGTATTTTACTCATAAAGGGATTGGGTAATTTTAAACAAAGGTTATCTCCCCTAGTAGGTTTGTGGAATAAGATAAATTTAGTTTTCTCAACATTTAATGAAAGTTTATTAATTGTTATTCAGTCATTTATTTTTAATAATTCTTCGTTTAATATTCTAAACAGATCTTTTATATTACTATTTGAATAAAAAAAATTCGAATCATCAGCAAATAAAACATTTTATCACGTCATGGCTCAAAACGTCGGCGACGTGACACGTTGTATCTGAGCCACGAGTGGCTCAGCTATCTCAACAAAGTTAACAAATTTTTGTAGATTTAGTAACCGATATCCTAATACAATTTTTAAGTAAAAAATATTATATATTTATTAGAGCATAAATATTCGTTTCTGATTGTTTGAATTAGCGCAAATAATCGTTTCTGATTGTTTGAAATAGCGCAAATAAAACGAATACGGGTAAACGAATATGATTTATAGTATACAAGTATAAATTTTTTAAATTATTCGTAAAATTAAAATGTACGAATGTTCGCAACCGTTCAGCGAATATTCATTAGAACATTTTTGTTGAACGATTTTTCGAAAATATCGAATAATTTGTCCTTCTTATTAATTTCAGAGTAGTAGAAACTTTCGATATCAAACAGTTTAAAATATCCAGAAAAATTTGGATCAAATTTTTTTTTTCCTAATTTTAATTTTTTTTAATTGCAACTACTATTTGTGTCCCTAATTTTTTTACTAATGTTATTGATAATGTTAATGGTTGTCCCTAATCATTAGTGACAAACATTAATTATCAATGTTATTGATAATGTTAATGTTTATAATAGCCTAATGTGGTTACTAATGTTATTGATAATGGCATTGGTTTTGCACAAAATTCTTGAAATATAAGAAGAATTCTTGAAGAGAATATTTCATTTGTTCTTAAAAAATAACATCTGATAATTAGTAATTTAGCTTTATAAACGATTAAACTTTTATTTTTTTGTTTTTCATTTATTGCAGTTATAGTAAAGTTCATTTTTATAAACAGAGTTTTGTATGTCGAATGTAATATAAATAAAAACATTGCAGATATTGCAGTTAGATGCCAAACATTATTTATATAATATTAATTTTAGTTACTTCAAACATTTTTTTATTTAATTTTAATTTTAGTTACTCCACACTAAACATTATTTAAAAATATGGAAGAACTTCGTCAGCTTGAATTTTTATCTTTGTTATCTAAGGTTTGTACTGAACTGGAGAACCATTTAAAAATAAATGATAAAACACTTGGTATTTTAAAAATTTGTAATTCTTGCTTTATTTGTTTGTAATTTTTTAAAAATAATGTTTTTAGAATAAAATGTTGTAATTATAATCTTTTTACTTTAAGCTGAATTTATCATCATGCTTGCTAGTAAAAGCAAAACAGTTAAAGGTTTTAAAAGTCAATTATATAAAAATGGTGCTGAATTTCCTGTAAGTTGATTTTTATAAGCATATTCTGGTGAAAAGGGTTTTGACTTGTATATAGTAAAGTTAAATGTGTAATAAGTAATTTATATACACTCACACACTCATTATATTGTTATGTCATTATAAGTACACTCCAATGTGTATATGGCTATATGAGTTGATGTATATACATTTCACATTGCTTATGGATATATTAGCCAATTTTGTTTTGGTCTCAAATAAATTTAAGACCATAAATAAATTAACAGTATCTAATAGTAATTAAATTTTGCAAGCAAAAATGCCAGAAATATTTATTTTATGTACACACACATTTTTATTATTATTATTTTAATTTTTATGCATAGTGTATAAATACATTTATAGACATAAAAATTAAAAAAAATGTAAAAGAAAACAAATATTTATATAAATATAAAAAGAACAAACTAAAAAAGAAAGAAATTTTGTATATAAAATAAACATTTCTGGCATTTTTGCTTGCAAAATTTAATTACTGTTAGATACTGTTAACTTATTGTCTTTATTTGAGACCATAATTAAATTGGTTTTAAACTTGTTGAGACCATCATGCGAAATACTTTTTTTGAGACCAGTATATAAACTTTAAAACAAATAGTATAGGTAACATTTATTAACAATAAAATATATAATAATTTTATTTTTTATTATTAATTATTATATAACTAATTAATAGTTACATATTATATTATTGATAAATATAATAAATAATATTTATTTCAAACTTTGTATACTTTTCTCAATTTATTGACTGTTTATTATTTAATCATTTTAAATTTATTCAAAAAAAATCTAAAGTTGTGTGCAATACTAGATAGAAATTATTTACTCACTTTCACAGACAGTAATAGTTATTATTTTATAGTATCAATGGTATCAATGAAGAGAAATCTTGTATTTTGATTTACATTTTTCATTTGTTTTTGTTATTTTTTTATCTATAAAACTTCATCATAAAAAATTATTTTGATTATAAAAAATTTCTAATAGCATAATATTTAAAAAGAAGTTTTTAACTCAATTTTTCAAATCAGTAGTAGTCAAATGTAATCAAAAGTTATACTATACTTTATGACCACTTTTTTTTAATGATACAAGTACTTTACTATATGTCTGTGTTCAATTAATAAAATATAACTTAATAACATATTTGGATATTACATATTTTCTATATATTATATATATATATATATATATATATATATATATATATATATATATATATATATATATATATATATATATATATATATATATATATATATATATATATATATATATATATATATATATATATATATATATATATATATACTTTTTTTATACTTATATATGTTATTAAGTTATATTTTAATAATTGAAAAAAACATTTATTTTGATAATAGTAAAAATGTCTTCTGTAATTAAAACATGGCTTTTTAAAATGATATTAAAAGTATTTTTTACAGTTCATTTAAAAACAGATGACATACTAATTTTTATTGAATTTTATAAACTTTTATGTCAATTTGTAAAGCTTATATAATAAATATATAATGTGAAGATCCTTTAGCAACTTATAGCTATTTTAAATATGAGTTTATGGTCACTCATAGTAATTTGATAACTCAACAAGTTTGCTCTAACGTCTTTCTCAAGATGTTAGAGTAAATTTAATGTGTGCAGAAGAAAACCATTCAGACCATTAATAGAGAATAAATGAGTATAGACGAGCTGAAAGAAAATTATAACAATATTACATCAATTTAAAATAACATTACATTGAGTGATGTTTGACATAATTGTTTAAGGGTGTTGGTTCAATGCATAAAAAAAAGTGTCATCAATTGTATCAAATATAACTAATTTTCACCAATATTTATATATATATTTTTTGAATTATATTCATTGACATCCAAGCAACAAGTGTGTTTATAAAATTAGTTGAAAATTTGAATTGAAGTTGAAAATTGAATTGAATTTGAAAATTATATGAAAATTGAATTAAAATTTTTGAACTAATTTAACCAATATATACTTACTCATAAAGAGTATTTACTTCTTTTTAATATTTTTTTTTTTGTATCATATTTTAAAATGCATATAAAAGTGAATGTAAAATTTTAATGACTTTAAATAAGTGAAATGTAAAGAACAATAGATTTTTTTTTGAACTTAAACATTTTTTCTGTTGAAGCAAATACATGTCTAATATAAATTTATACATGAACATGTGTAAAAATATAGTATATTTTATTTTAATATTTTGTAAAGTTTTTGTATTAATATAAGTGTAATGTATACTTTTTATCTTTTAGGATTCATTGATTTTAAATTTGCATCGATTGACTAAACATTTACATCCTGTTTGCCCATCAAAGAGAGAAGTAAGTGTATTGTATTGAACATAATTTTAAATAAAAAGGTCAAATAATATGTCTATAAAAATTTTGTTGGTACAATCTATATTTCTTTATACTCAGTATTGTTAAAAACATAAAAATTGGTTGAAGCGCCAACAACAGAAAGGATATATATATATATTTTGTAATTCACCTCCCCAAGGCCATGAGGGCCACTACAGATGAGGAGGCTACTTGTGGTTTTAACCCTCTCTCAACTCTATAACTCCGAAACACAAGTCTTGAAAAACAAGGCCGCTGCACGGAGAAACAAGTTGAGCGCGGTACTACCAGGGACGTGGTGAGAATCGAACTCCGAACCTCTCGCTTATGAAGCAAACGCTCTACCACTACACCACTACCGCATATATGACTTTTTGTTAACAAAGATGACAGTTTTTTGAAATTTTTTTTAACTAAATGGTTTTGATAATAATAATAATATATATTCTGTTGAGGGTTAACGCCAAGTCAACCCTATAACAAACTCAAATAACAGGTTTTACAAAATTTTACAAAAAAACTTAAATAAAAGCAACCTTTAGCTTAGAAAACATAGCTTTTCTATTTTTGATTTAAACTCACTTACGAACTGCGATTCAACAACTGAACTAGGCAGTTTGTTATATAATTTTAACACTCGGTTTGTAAAGAAATTTTCACAAAGATCATTTTTGAAATAGGTATCAGTAATTGTATGATGATCTGGTTTTCTTAAAAAAGCTAGTTTATAATTTTTTTAAGGAGGAACTAGCCATTCAATTTTTTCTATATTTTTATAGCATTTAAAACATTGTATTAAATCCCCTCTTTTTCTTTTTTTCAGATAGAGTTGTTAAATTTAACGAGCATAATAATTTTTCATTTGATAGATCTCATATTTCCGGGATCAATTTCGTCGCTCGTGTTTGTATGTTTTCAAGGATATTTATATCTTTCTGCATATGAGGTGACCAAACTTGAATTGCATATTCAAGATATGGTCTTACATAGCTTATGCACAATTGTCTAAAAGATGATTTGGTTTTGTATTTAAATATTTTTGACAATAGACCCAGTCTACTATTTGCTTTTGCTACTGCTGATTCAATTTGAACTTCCCATTTTAAATCTCGCAAAATTGTTATTCCTAAATCTTTTTCCAACTCAGTAGTGTTAAGAACTTGTTTAAAATCATCTTGCCCAAAAGTATATAAATGTTTTGGATTTAACTTGCCAATGTGCATAACCTTGGATTTATCTAAATTTAACTTCATCTTCCATATTTTAGACCATTTTTCTATAATGTCAATATCATTTTGTAGCTTTGAAATATTACTTCTTTCATCTAATATTACATTAACTTTGCTATCGTCCGCATATACCTCACATGGATTTTTAAGTAATGAACACAAATCATTAATATTAAGATTAAACAATAGCGGACCAAGAACGAATCCTTGTGGGTCACCACATCTAGCCATAATGAAGTAACATCACCATATATAACATTTTGACTTTGACTTAATAGTGTATTAAAGTAGAAAGACATAAAGTAGAAAGACAGTAATTATTTTATTTCTGAGAGCTTTTTTGGTTTCAGTTGTTATAGTTTTCTGATGGTTCAGTTATCATAGTTTTCTTTATCTTTATCTAAATATTTTAGAAATACATTAAAATTCTCCAAAATATCTGTATGATGTTACACTTCTAAATCTAAGTGCTTACAAAAAGTCTACATATGATGAAGTTCTATTAAAGTATTTTAAGAGTGAACTAAAATATTTTTTTTAAGGTTAAAGAAAATTTCTTAACTTATAGTCAAATAATTGATCAAATTTCTATGTTGTATATTAGAGATAAGATTACTTATTCAATGTTGTCTACTCTTTTTGCGAAGGAAATTTCTAATTTTAATTAATAATTTTAGTTTTTAAAGTTATTTATAATTTTATGTAAAGTTTGGGATATGCTTCAATCCTTACAATGTTTATGTTTATAAAATGTTGTAAAAGGTTTTTGTAAAACATGTAATAAAGTATTTTGTAAATGTGCTCTTTAATTCTATATATTTATACATTTATTAAAGTTTTACAATATTGACTTAACATTTAATTCACGTTTAATAAAAGTATACATTAAAGCTTAAATATAGATCAATATCAATCTTATATTTCTGGTTAATAATTGGTTCCAGAATAATAATTACTGTACATAAGTTTTACAAAAGGGATTTTTTTATTTTAAAAGTATTTAATTAAATTAAATAAATATAAATTAAAAAATTTTAAAAATGTGTTTAATAAAATTGTGTATCTACATGTACTTTTGTTGCTGATGATTAATGGTAATGAAAAGTTTTCTTGTTCTTTTTTTTTTTCTAGATATTAAAAATATTATAAAAAATATGAAAATTATGTAATTAACAAAAAATTTGAAATTAACATTACACTTTTTCTAATATTTTATATTTGTAGATTTTAGGGATATCCCACATTTTATACTTAGTACTCTAATATTTAGTACTCTTTGTGCAAGTATACTTTTTTAATCGTTAAGCTATAAAAAATCTTAATGTTGAAGACAATACCAAGTTGGTTCTATGCAAGCAAAAGTTTCCTGGCTTAACTATACCTGATAAACCAGTTGGAAAAGTAAGAGTTTTTATTTTTACTATTATTTTTATTATATATATATACATATATATATATATATATATATATATATATATATATATATATATATATATATATATATATATATATATATATATATATATATATATATATATATATATATATATATATATATACATATCACTCCAGCTTCTGTATCTAAAGTGATTCCCTGCTTAGACTCTTGTGTTTGGACAACATACCTGTTATAGTCTTGCAGAAGTGTTCTCCAAAGCTGTCATCTATACTTTCAAAACTATACAAAAAATACTGTTAAGCAGCATCTGATATTTTTAGCGGCATCCCTATTCTATTCTATTCAAAAACTTTGGACAGCATACTGACTTGTTTAACTACCCTCCTATTAGTCTTCTTCCTATCATAGGCATAGGTTTTTGAGTCTTTAATTAACAAATACTTAATCTTATATCTTGAATCTAATAACTTACTTTCTGCAAATCAATATGGATTTCGATCTTCTTGTTTTAAAGCTGATTTGCTAACAGTAATAATTAATAGGTTAAGGCTATCACTCTTGACATTTCTAAAGCTTTTGATAAAGTTTGGCATGCTGGTCTTCTCCATAACCTTTTTTCATATGGTGTATCAGGTAACATCTTTAAGATTATTGAATCCTTCCTTATCGCAGTATCCTTTTATATCGTAGTATAAAAGTTGTCCTTGATGAACAACACTCTTGTTATATCCTGTAACTTTGGGGATTCCTCAAGGTTCTATTCTAAACCTAAGGTTTAATTTACATTAACGATCTTCCAGATATTCTCACATCTAGGGTGGCATTTTTCGCTAATGATACTACCATTTATTCTTGTCTTGATAAGAAGCCAACACTTTCTTATTCCATGGAGGGACATTTGAGCTTGAAAAGATTCTCACTTTTCCTACAGCATGGGGCTCTCAGTGGCTGGTGAATTTTAGTTCAGATAAAACTCAATTTTTTCAGCTAACTGTTATCCCAATAATTTAGATCTTCCTATATTTATGAATGGTAATGTACTTAATGAGTCATCTACCTAATATGTGACCGGGGCCCTGGCCCTGGCTAAGACTTTTTGGAAAGCCCGCCCCACTAAATTTATAAGATTTAGCAGGGATTGATAGCCAGGGCTTGAAAAAAATTTATAATACTTAGTATATTATAATAGTATTCTTACATTTACTAGTTATTAAACACTGGCATATATTTTCATTTATATTCTTTCAAACTTTATTTCCAACAAGATTAAAAGAAACTATTAAGTTATAAGTTTTTTTAAAATAGAAAGTAAGTAAAAATACTAGGAAATGGTTAACTGAAGACTTGAAAAGTTGTAGGTTGTATATAAAAGAAAAACATGAAAATGATAAGAGTTATTAGGTTTTTTTGATGCTCATAGAAAAAAACTGAAATAATAAAAGTTTTTTTACCATGAAGAGATAGATACAGTAAAAGGATGCAACTTTTGAATAAAAAGCCAAGCAAGAATGAGATTTGGTTTATCGTACTAGAGAATATAGCTTGTTTGAGCATTAACCATGATTGTATTTGTAGAAAAAAGAAAGAAATGCAACCTTACAACAATGGAAGAGTGGCTCAAGCTTTGCAGATAAAGCAGGATTAGTTACATTTACAATGTGTTTTTAGATTTTGTCTGAGGGTAAGAGGGTTGTTATTCGTCAATATAGAAATGCCAATAATATTGAAATATTTTTTTGCAGTAAATAAATGAGTTTTGTTGTGTAACAAAAGTTGTAGATTTTAAGTCCAGAATTTAAATCCATAAGCTGCTGCAAGCCTTAGGTTGCTGCTGCAAGCCTTAGGTTGCTGCTGCAAGCCTTAAGTTGCTGCTGCAAGCCTTAGGTTGCTGCTGCAAGCCTTAGGTTGCTGCTGCAAACCTTAGGTTGCTGCTGCAAGCCTTAGGTTGCTGCTGCAAGCCTTAGGTTGCTGCTGCAAGCCTTAGGTTGCTGCTGCAAGCCTTAGGTTGCTGCTGCAAGTCTTAGGTTGCTGCTGCAAGCTTTAGGTTGCTGCTGCAAGCCTTAGGTTGCTGCTGCAAGCCTTAGGTTGCTGCTGCAAGCCTTAGGTTGCTGCTGCAAGCCTTAGGTTGCTGCTGCAAGCCTTAGGTTGCTGCTGCAAGCCTTAGGTTGCTGCTGCAAGCCTTAGGTTGCTGCTGCAAGCCTTAGGTTGCTGCTGCAAGCCTTAGGTTGCTGCTGCAAGCCTTAGGTTGCTGCTGCAAGCCTTAGGTTGCTGCTGCAAGCCTTAGGTTGCTGCTGCAAGCCTTAGGTTGCTGCTGCAAGCCTTAGGTTGCTGCTGCAAGCCTTAGGTTGCTGCTGCAAGCCTTAGGTTGCTGCTGCAAGCCTTAGGTTGCTGCTGCAAGCCTTAGGTTGCTGCTGCAAGCCTTAGGTTGCTGCTGCAAGCCTTAGGTTGCTGCTGCAAGCCTTAGGTTGCTGCTGCAAGCCTTAGGTTGCTGCTGCAAGCCTTAGGTTGCTGCTGCAAGCCTTAGGTTGCTGCTGCAAGCCTTAGGTTGTTGCTGCAAGCCTTAGGTTGCTGCTGCAAGCCTTAGGTTGCTGCTGCAAGCCTTAGGTTGCTGCTGCAAGCCTTAAATTGCTGCTGCAAGCCTTAGGTTGCTGCTGCAAGCCTTAGGTTGCTGCTGCAAGCCTTAGGTTGTTACAGAAAAGAGATCTGATTAAAAATCTGCTGGTTGTTCTAAGCAATTAAAAAGTGATGATTTTTAGTCAAGACAAGACAATAAAGTTGAGTTGTCAGCAAATAGAGCCGCTTAGATTTCATGAAGTTCATTATTGTAGATAAGAAACAATACAGGAGCAAAGAAAGAAACTTGTGATACCCTTAAAGTTACTTGAAATAAAGAAGAAGATAGGCCTTTAAGAATATCCATTATACAGAGTATCCATTATACTCAGAATTTTATTAGTTTCTTTGTTGTTTTTGTCTTGATAATGTTTTGAGAGAGAAAAAAAAGGGATTCCTTAAACTGTTGCCAGCTATTAAAGAAATCTTCAATTTTTACTTTTAAGCGTTTGTTAAGCGTTGCAGCTAACTTAATAAACACACCTTTTTTGTTATCAGAAATTTTCTGTGCTTTTTCAGTACAAGAGTTAAAATGATTCCTTATTTTAACTCAAGAAACTTAGTCTGTCAATAAATTAGAATAAATCTTGAATTTCCATTAGCACTTGCCACTATTGCAGTGTTGCCTAACTTTAAGTCCTTCGCCTACGACTTACACAAAAAGAATTTTAAAAAAATCTATGGACAAATTTCTGTATTTTAAAACTATAAAAAAACAGTAAAATGTTTTTTTACCAATTTGTAATTGAGATTTCAAGTAGTAAATACAATCATTTTTTATATTATAAGTTTATCTTTTTTATTTCTTATATAATTGTGCATTTAGAAAGCAAAGGTCGCACTCTCCAAAAGTTGAGAGTCTCTTGCAGTTGGACAGGTTAAATTTATATTACATTTTAGTATAACTAATAATTATTTGCTAATACAATTATGTTGTGTGCTTGTATTCTTTTTGTTGTTTTACTTTATAATAGTTTTTTTATATAATAAAGTAATTAGCCTAATGAATCAAGGTGCTTTAAAAATTAGTTTAACAAACCAAATTGTTTTAATAATTTAAAGAAACTAAGGTGTTAGTTTTTTATTTTTTTATTTATTTGCATTAGATATATGATGGGAAAATTTCCAACATAATGCAATTTGGTTGTTTTGTTCAACTTTTTGGTATTCGCTTCTGTGTTGAAGGTCTAGTTCATATCTCCCAGGTAAATTAAAAACAGTTTTTTATGTAAAATTTTTATTATTTGTTTTAAAATTTTTTATAATAGAGTTTTTTGTTCATCTCTATTTTTGATAGAAAAAATTAAAAAAGGAGTACGTTTCATGAAGAATAAAGTGAGTTAAAAAAAAAAAATGTCCTGATGTACCAACTTTTTAAATATTTCCTTAGAAAAAAATAAGCTTGAGAAATTTGTTTATGTCGAATAGCTGACTCTTTCTAATTACTATATTAGTATTTGTCTACCATATTTTACTGGTCTTTAGTATATTGGGGTCTATTAAGACAAATTTTGAGCCTCCATGGGTTTGAGTGTTTTCATATAATTAAACTTAACATGATTGTGAGGTTTTTACAACTTTTATCTTTTTTCATTTTCAATTCACTTGTGGCATTTCTTTTCATTTTATCGATGCATCAAATGGTAATAGATCAGTGCTTATTGGACCTTTAGTCTTCTTTGACCTTTTAAACCTAAAACTTAATTATAGGAGTTAGTCAACTATTTATTATGACATTTTTTCTGTAAAATTGTACAGCAGTTTGTTTCCTCTCAATTTAGGTGTTTAAGTAGGTTAAAAAGATTTCATTTGTTTGTTACTAACTCTACACAACTGCACAACTTAGCTGGTTGAAAGGTTTAATAAACATTAGACAATATCTTATATTCAATTTTTTTATCTTAACCTATGTTTAGCAGATTAATTTATTTTTTTACTAGTAACAAAATTATGTAAATTTAATGCATTTTAATGTTGTTGCAAAAAAAAATTAAAATTAAAAAGAGCGCCGATTTAAATGAGGAGCAGCTCGCACAGCTCTCCAAAGTCGTTTTAGGAGAGCTTTTTTCTGCTCTTGTGCTCATTTATTCTCGCCAAGGTCTATATATATATAATATATACATATATATATATAATATATATATATATATATATATATATATATATATATATATATATATATATATATATATATATATATATATATATATATATATATATATACATATATTTATATATATATATTTACATATATATACATATATATATGTATATATATATATATATATATATATATCATATATATATTATAAATATATATTATATATATATATATATATAAATATATATATATATATAACATATATATATCATATATATATATATATATATATATATATATATATAGTATATATATATATATATATATATATAAATATATATATATATATAAATATATATATATATATTTATATATATCATATATATAAATATATACATATATATATATCATATATATATATATTTATATAATATATATATATATATATATATATATATATATATATATATATATATATATATTTAGAAAAAGAAGAAAAAAAACGAAGAATGATGAATGAAACGATTGCTGCCCCATCCCAAACCCTCAGCCGATGTAGCAGCACTCCACTGCTAGTCAGGCTATTTGTCAGTTGATATATGTACTGAAGCCCCCAGCAGCAGGCTATTTCAGTATGACGTCAGATTGCTTACCTTAGTACGCAATACTATTTATATACATATATGTATATGTATATATATATATATGTATATGTATATATATATATATATATATATATATATATATATATATATATATATATATATATATAACATACATATATATATATACATATATATATATGTGTATATATATATATATATATATATATATATCTATATATATATATCTATATATATATATATATATATATTATATATATATATATATATATATATATATATATATATATATATATATATATATATATATATATATATATATCAGCGGGCTAATCTAGGAAATCAATGTGAGTTGCAGTACGCCTCTGTCCTGGA